ATAAGTTCAAAAGCCTGAAGTCTAGCTTTCTTTTAATAGTACTCGAATACAAATGAAAGGCTATTACTTTGTTTATTGCTTTTGTATATTATAAGCCACATGTTGCATTTAATAACCACATGCAAAATATTTTGATTCATAAACATGGCTCAGTCTTTTCAAATTCTTAAAGCATTTGATCTTCGCTGTGTTTAACTTTCTCTAGGTTTTAGCTTTACTGGGGTTTGCCAGAGTTTTGCAAAAGTTTGCTATTTTGCCAGAGTTTTACTGTTTCACCAAAATTTCACCAGTTTTGACTTTCACCGGATTTAGTTTCAATATTTGCCATTTGCCAAAAATAGTTTTGCTTAAAAACAGTAGTAACAACATAATTATGTAGTCATTTTTTTGGTTTGTAATCGCTAGGGCATATTTAAAGAAACCAGGTTTTTTCTCAGACAAGATAATTTCTGTTTTTTCTGCTAACCTGATTTTTGTCTGGTTTTTTTTTCTGCCCTTTCCTACCTTCGTAGGGTGGCCTAACGAGCACTTTTAGCAAGTTTTTGGTTAAAATTATATTTTTAGCAGATAGCTAGTCAGGACGACGGTTTCGTAGAACAATGGTTAAAATCATAGATTATTAATAAGTGGTCTGTCAGAGCGATAGTCACATGAATATTATCGCATTACGCTTGAGTAGGTATTGCTAAATAGAAGAGCGAAATAAGGAAATAGTTATTGCATGAGTGAATGTTAGTAGTATTGACCTGTCAGATGATAGTCAATTTTAAATTACAAGTGAGTAACCTGTCAGAATGACAGTCACAAAGATTTGTCACTTTTGTTCATATTTTGTTCAAATTTGGCTTGTCAAATGATAGCCAAATCCAAGTTTAGTAGGTGGCCTGTCGGACAGTCACAGAGATTTATCATTTTGTTCGTAGTATATTCAGATTTGGCTTTTCGGATGATAGTTAAATCTAAGTTGAGTAGGTTATCTGTCAGGACGATAGTACAAAATTTGCATGCTACACTTGAGTAAGTATAGTTTAGTGACTAAAGCGTAACAAGTGATAAAAGAAAAAGAAAGATGCTGTAAAATATGATAGTCAAGAACTTAGTTACAACTAATGAGTTTTAATGATGCTTTTATTAGAGATAGCAAAGTTAGTCTAAGTCCTGTCTTGGTCCTAAGACCTTTAAATTTTATAGTGTAAATCTATTAACCAAGGTCTTGTACAATAAGTTTTAAGATCTAGATTAACCGGGTCTTGTCTAAGACTAGATTTAAAGTTAAGTCCTAAACTCAGTCCCAAACCAGAAGTAGAGATAAATCATGTGACTATCCGCAAATCAAATTGTAAAATTATAATCGTCAGCAAAGCAAAATGAAAACCTAAAAAAATAAAAAAAATAGCAGTCTTGGATAGATTAAACAAAAATATCGGGAAGGCAATTTTGCATATATATATCACTATCTAAAACCTGACTGAACTCTAATATAAGATGACCCTGACTTTAAAGCTAATTTAATAAATATTAATTTATATATCTGCTTTAGACATTCCCCAAACTGGGTTATACTAATCAGAATTTGTATTCATGTATAATCTATATCTACTTGGTAAACACTGATTGGTTAGTATGTAAGTATATATATAAAATTATAACAAAAAAAAAAGTATATTTATTAAATGTGTTTTGGCTTTGAATTTACTCATATAATTTTTATTTTCACATTTATCAAATTTTCTTTCAAAAATAACCTCAGATTTAATCTAATTGGAGTTATAGCAAATAGTTTTTAAAACAGAAAAAAAAATATTTTAATTTTTATTTAAATTTTAACTTACTAATCTTCACAATTTTATTTTTAATCCAACTTTTAGCACATAAAGATGCCCTTAAAGTTTCTGGATCAAAACGGTTTCGAGTACGTAATATAGTATTTGTTGCAACTGAAAAAGCCTGCTTGCAAGCTACACTAGTAGCCTGAATTGACAAATAATCTCTTGATATACGTGCTAATGTTGGAAACTCTTTTTTATACGCTTTTTATTATAATAATAGTATAATATTCTTATTACAAGGCAAAGCTAAGTAATGCTCTAATTCATCACCAGAGCTTTGATTTGTTTTAGAACCTAATTCTAAATGAAGTTGTTTAAGTTTCTTAAAATAATCATGCGTTGTATTAATATTATCTTTATTAACATGTACTGGCTTATCAGTTAATGTAGTATGATATTGATTAAATACTTCTCTAGTTTTATTAACTGTATTGGTAGTTTCTTGTTTTATTTCAAAGAGCGATAATTTGGTTTGTGAGTCAAGAATTGATACGACAGTAGTATCATCATTAATTATATGTTTATATTGGTCAATTTTTTCATTAATTGATGCAGCTAACATATACTGGCCAAATTCACTATTTTCTACATATCTTTCAAGATATTCTTGAATACCACTAAATAAGAATCGAATATTCGCGATTGTTAGATATGAAGTTGCAGACAGTAATTTTGTAGCTCTTTCTAATGGTTTTATTAAGATGAGTATTTCCTTATTAAAATATTTAAATTAATAAGGCAATGCAAAATTAATTGTTTTTTATAACTTGGCTAGGTCAAAGTTAGAAAACTTCCAAAAAAATTTTTTTTATATGTTTTAATAACTAAGCAGGTTTTAAAAAAAAATTTTATATAAATTTTATAAAATTTTATATGTAAAATTTTTTTTAAAAAAAGCTGGCTAGTCATGTTTTTTGAAAGTTTCATATTATAAAACCAAGTAATTAATTTGCATAGTTTTAAAATTATTGTACCTTAATTTTTGTTCATGCATCTGGTGTAGGTATTAAATTTTAAATTTTATCATGATTAACAGCTAGCATTCTTAATGCAGGTTGCATTCATAACATTTTATATTAAGGGGCGTGCCATTTATCACATAATATTTTTTATTTAGTAGCCACCCCTATCCATGTATAGTATAATCATCTCTAGCTTGATTCTGATTAGCCGATTTAATTTATTATTAAAAATCTTCTTAATATTTTTAAAATTAAATAACTTTTGATCTACTAGTCCGATTTGGATGATTTAACTGTTAAAATGTTCGTCTTGATGAGACGATTCTAATGAGTCCAAAATCGCTAAAATCCAATCACAGTATCCTGAGATCATTAAGGTTTTTTGTACTATTTCATATATAATAAAATTAATTTTATTATATACAAAATAGTACAAGAAACTTTAACAATCTCAGGATCCTGTTATTGGATTTTAGTGATTTTGGACTTATTAGAATCGTCTCATCAAGACAAATATTTAGACAGTTAAATCATCCAAATTAGACCAGTAGATCAAAAGTTATTTAATATTAAAGATTTATTAAAATATATATATAATTTATATACTATATTATATATATATATATGTAGTGATACAAACAGCTTGAGTCAAGCCAAAAGCCAAATAGCTAAGCTGAGCTGATTAATGGCTCAGCTCTGGGTTTACTAATAAAGCATCGGCTTTAAACAGTTTAGCTCTAGACCCTTAAAGCTGATATGAAGCTGAGAGCTAATTAATTGGTATTATATAACTATTATCCAACAGTAAACGATAAAAATACTGTAGTTTTATTTAATAGTTCAGAAAACATGATAATATATAAGCTTTAGCATTAGTGGCAAACATTCTGCTAAAAAAAAGTTAATTGCATGCTATTGTTATGGGAGAGTATATAGAGCTATCAGCACAATTTAACTCTAATAGTTAACTTTATATATTCTTTGTGAGAACTAATAATAATTAAATAGTAATATAACTATATAATTGGTTATAATAATCGCTTGTGTATATGAGATACATAATTAATTGTAGATCAGGGTGCTTAATTATATTTACTGGTAATCAATCAAGTAATTAATTTAAAAGTTCAAATCTAGATCAAAACAGTTTATAATATAAATGACATGTTTATAATATCAATGTCCTCAAGGTAGATGATATAAACAATATAACAAAGGGTTATAAAAACAAATGTATAATATGATTGTGAAGAGCCTTCACAGTTAAGATAAGGAAATAAAATAAAGACAACAATACAATGATAAATTCATATAATATTAATTGATTTCTCAATTCTTAATACTTCTATATTAAAGATATTGAAGTTTGAAGCTTATTAGAAGAGCAAAAAAACAGCTCTTTTATACTTTCGAAGTATATTGAAAGCTTACTACAAGAACAAAATATGCTCCCTATTTTTAAGTCTAGATTTATACTTTGTTGTTCTATATTGTTAACCCATCTATCCTTAGCATAATCAGACTTATACTTTTTAAGCCAATTTTACTACTATACTTCTAAGCTTTTTCAGACCCAATCTCTAGACCTTACAATAACAAACAAATAAAAAGAATCTATAGATATAAAATAAACAAAAATGACGAATAAAATATTTATTTGTACAGATTTAAACTTTTAATCTTTTGCCACAACCCAGCTTTACAGTATACACATTTTTGTTATCATAAGTCATAATTTTTTTTCTTAAAAAAAAAATTGTGACACTATTTCTAAACTATATATTAAATATTAGTTAAATAGATAATCGAATCAGGTTTGATATTAATTAAGGCTATGCTAAAATTTAATAGTAATTATTTTAATACTAGAATTATATGATTCAACTTAATAATATATTGTTAAATATAAGTGAAGCCTTCGAATGCTAACTTTCAAATTTAAATATTAGAATTTGTATTTATGTCTGATTGGATAGTTTTCTTATATAGGATAGCAGCTTGTGGCTTGGCTCAGCTCAAGGTTAATTGGCTTATAAACAGCTTGGCTCTGACTTTGAAGCTAAAAGATCGGCTCAGCTTGGTCAATGCAAGCTGTGAGCCAAGCTAAGCTAAGCCGTTTGTATCACTATATATATATACATGATCTCTTATCTGACTATATATCTATAGTATAAATCATATGATTTTTGGCACTCTCTTAAATACTATTTCACCTAGTCACAATATCTAATTCTGGTTTTAGATAATCTAATTTTTGCACATTACATAGCTCCTTTAATTCATCATATAAGATTATTGATCCTTTGATCTTTGACATTAATATACGAATATTTATAATATATTGATCAACAATTTCTAGTCTATAATATGCAGCTAAATTTAAAATATAGATACTACATCTGTAGTGATAAAAGGTTTGACAATCCAATACTTCCTGCAAATTATTTGCTAAAATACATCTACAGACCAATATTGTCGACTCATTATCAGTGATAAGTGCTAATATTTTATTTACTAGATTGAATTCTACAAAGACATCATTAATTGCTTTTCTATATTTGCTTCTAGATGTTGGGTTGTATTACAAAAGTTACAAACTATACTTGCGCAAAATTTTATAAAATTATAAAAATTATAGTGCTACATTTTTGTAAAATAATATGCAGTCTTATTTTGAATTTTATTCTAAATTAAGCTTAATTTAGAACAAAATTCAAAACTACACCCTGTGCATTATTTCTCATAAGAAGACTTTTGTATGATTGGTTGTTTAAATCAATTTAATTTTATATTATTTATATAGTTTAAAGTGCTTTTTAAAAAAAATAAACCTACAAAAAAGAAGTATATAAAATCCAGTATTAAAAATAATCTGGTTTTAAAGAAGTTAGCATGATAGTGATCTTTTAAAGATAGATAGAATTAGTTATTACTATGCTAACCTCTCTAAAACCAGAAATAATTTTGATTATTTTTAATACTGGAGTTCTACAACTCTAATAAAACTTTTTATATACTTCTTTTTTGTTTATTCTTCGTAGTTTTATTTTTTTTAAAAAGTACTTTAAACTGTATAAATAATATAAAATAAATTGATTTAAACAGTTAATTATACAAAAGTTTTTCTATAGTATTATTTTACAAAAATACATAATTTTATAATCTTACCTGTATGATGTGTAGTAAAGAGAACAATATCTAACAGAAATCGATGAAACACTTATTGCTAATCTATATAATGAATTGTGATGCCAAGAAAAGTATCATTATTAATAGTTGATACTCACATATCTGAAGTTAGGAAACTTTTCCTGAAAATATTAGTTATTTGTATCCTTTGCTCATTAAAGTAGCTAATAATCATATTCTTAACCTGACAATATTCAGAGATTTTGTAGTGCAGGTCAAGTGTATTTATTAATTCAAGAAATTTTTTGTTTTCAACGATACAAAATGATTGTTAATCTACAATAATCCAAGTGATTAAAGCTAGATTATGTTTTTTTTTTGTGCTTCAGGCTATAGATTATTACGAACAAAAGATAATTTTGTTTGATAGCATTTAATCTTTGGAATGATAATATTATATTGACTATTCAAATATTACTCTAAACTAGAATTACTACTCTTAGATGAAAACTTTTGACTATATTTATCGCAAATAGAAATATCAGAATAGTTAGGATCAAAGCTAAAATATTGCCACAAAGGCGATAGTTTTCTTGTGTTCTTGTTTGAATTAGTAGATATATTTCCATCAGATGTCTGGGTTAATTGGTTATCTAATTCATCATCTTGGTTATAATATTCAGCATTTTCATCATTTTCATTATTTTCAATATCCATCTTTTTGTTTTCTGAAATCTTTGATTTATTTGCAATTTATATTTAAATAAAGGGTTTCACAAATTACAAAATATATAATTGATTTTATTTTTATTTTACATTTGTTGATTATTTTATTTATTTATCTTTTAATTGAGTGATGCCAAGAAAACATTATCTTTTTTGTAGCTCTTTTTTAGGCTTTTTATCTGAATATCATTAAAGAAAAGCAGGTAAATCTTATAAATAATTTTATATTACAAATTTAACGCAAGTATAATTACACGTTAGGTGTATCCTTTTTTTTAATTATATTCTACATTTATAAACTTATTTAAAATGTGCATTATGTATATTTTAGTAACAAGAGATATAAATTTTTATGATTTAATATAAGTTAAGCACTATCCCTAATTGCAAATATTACATAAAATAACTTGTTTTAAAGTTTTTTTCTTGGGTTATCTGTGATTTAAATGATTTAATTAATAAACATATTATCATATAAGCACAAAATAATGTCTATCTATGATGCATAACATTTCTTTAGATATCTTGCACCTAGTGATTTGAACCGTAACAAAAAACATCAACCGGTTAACTGAACCGGGTTATTTAGAACCATCCGGTTATAACCGGTTATCATTGCAGTTTTACTTTTTAGCCAATCAACACTACTAGTATAGCATACTGTATAATGCAACTCATACTTAATGATTAAATTAGTTAGATTGTTAGATTCGTTAGCTGTTAGATTCATTAGCTATTAGATTCGTTAGATCTTTCGTTTTTAGTTATTACTTCTAACATTTAAGACTCTTCAAATGCTCTTGCGAAGACATTAAATTTCGCATGCTGGTTGTGAGCGAAATAAGATTTTGGGTAAGTTTTTATTGATGTCTGTTTGTTTTATTCATTTATCTTTATTAACATTGTTTTTTATTTTGGAAATCAAGTTAAAGGTGGATAGTTATAT